GTGCTGCGGGCCCCCCCCCCCCCCGCCAAGTGCACAAATTTTTGTGCACTAGGCCTCTAGTATATATATAAAAGCCTAAGTGATTGTTTGACCATCCAACCGGTACACTGACCACCAGAGGGAAGATGCTCAATGCCCAGGCATGGCAACAGGGAACAAACTGATGAATCTCAGAGGGAAGGGGGGAAGGGTAGGGTGGGAAGAGATTAACCAAAGATCTTATATGCATGCTAGAGGCTGTGCACTGGTGAGGTCCCACGGCCTGGCTTATTGGGATCGGGTGGAAACTGGCAGTCTGACATACCCCTAAGGGTCCCGGATTGTGAAAGGGTGCAGGAAAGGCCAAGAGACCCCACCAGTGCACAAATCTGTGCACCAGGCCTCTAGTACAACTATAAGAAAGAAAATATTCATCTGATGGTATTGCATAGTCATTCTAAGCAGGAAAGAAATAAAGAATAAAATGTTTAATAGTAGATTGCCATTTACATTTCCCCTTTGTGTTTCTATGAGTATCTAAAGATTGACAACACTCAGTGATTAAATTGCTCCTTCCATCAACATATTTTTGACAGTGTATCCAATGAGCAAGGAGAAACACTTCAGTAACACAATTTTATTCCAAGTACTCATTAAAATTCATCTTCCGAATGTACATCTCCAAATGTAAATCTGGCTGATGTCAAACATTTTATGTAAAAAACAAGAAATTTTATTAAACATATTTATTTAATATCATCAGTAGGAAGCATTATTCCAAAAGCAAAGGAATTGAAGAATAGAAATTTGGAAAAGTCTAATGTGGAGAACATTTATAATGGACCTTGACTTAATTACTGTTTTTAAGGATAAGTCATCCATAAATTGATAGCTCAATTGTTGACTGCTGAAAATGTTGTTCATATCATTCCACTCTTTTTTTCCTTGCTAATATGAACATAATAGATTGTAAACTATTTTCATTGTCATTCATTTCTATTAAAAATTCATTTACGTGGCTTTTATTAAAAGAGGAATGTTGCCAAGTATTAGTTTAGATTAATTATAGTCATTTATTCCCTAATGGAAATTTAAAGATATGTATATATCTAGGAGTTGCTTACTATTTGAGAATAACAGCCTATAAATACTGATTTTAATAAGTAGAATATCCATTACTATTTTTTCTAGTATCTAATTTTTCAGACTTTTTAGTTTATTCTGGAAAGTGGATAAGAGCTATCTTATAATATATATATATATATTAATAATATTATATATGGGAAATCTAATGGAGAAAAAAGGATAGAAGGCACAGAACAAGTCAATGGTGAATCATATTCCATGAGGAAATAACAGAGGATGGTATCAAGAAGTCAGATGAAGGAGTTAGAAAGACCAAATAGGTGTTCAGGTGAATATGAATTTTAAAATGTTAATACCTTGAGAGATAACTTTGCTTTTGGAAAACTGGAACTCTGATAAAAGTAGGGATGCTTAAGGAACTGGCATGGAGATGATAATATTAGTAATAATAATAATAATAACAATAACAGAATCTACTTCACTGCTGAAAGCTTTTTATGAGCTAGAATTTTCATATTTAGCACCATTCATTCTCAGATAAGAAAAGCATGATTATTCCCATTTTAAAGATGGGAAAATTGAGGCTAAGAGAAATTAAATGACTTACTAAATGTAAAATTTGGAAGCACCCTGACTGGTTTGGCTCAGTGGATAGACCGTCGGCCTGCAGACTGAAGGGTCCCAGATTCAATTCCGGTCAAGGGCATGTACCTTGGTTGTGGGCACATCCCCAGGAGGAGGTGTGCAGGAAGCAGCTCGTCGATGTTTCTCTCTCATCGATGTTTCTAACTCTCTCTATTCCTCTCTCTTCCTCTCTGTAAAAATCAATAAAAAACAATAAAAATACATTTTTAAAAAGGTTGGAAGCAATAGTCAAGGATAGCATGGGTTTTATTTGGGTCTGACGCCTACAGTCTTTCCAGTCTATAGCAAAGTCTCCAATCATGACAAATGCTAACTTGAAAATAAAAGTCCCCCAATATATGTTTCATTGGGGATAATGATCATATATTTGTGCATTAAACATGGGTTTGTAATTCAACATATAGCATTTAGGTCAAACACAAGAAAAAAAAACATAACTTACAGAACACTCATTTTCTGACATTGAAGTTTTTTAAAAATCTATAATCAGGAAATGTTTAGAAATAGTTTGACCCAAATAGAGGTAAATTATAATCACTAAAAGTGGACTTTAAATGTCATTTACAGTTTCTGATTAAACAAAAATTAATTTGTTTTTGGAATTTTGAGACTGTTTAAGCAAATAAATGGTATCAAACAAATTCTATCCTCTATTGATAATGCTACTCCTTATCACAGTTGCTTCGCAGAAATAAGTTAACCCGTTTTGAGGAGGCAAAGTGAAACTAAACATACAGGAACTGGGACCTTTGGGGGCGGGGATAAAAACTGGGAACCCAACTAGGTGGAGTTACTAAGACATCCCAGTGGGGTTGGGAAGGAAGGGCAGGCAAAAGAGACATGAGCTTCAAAATTTATGAATGTTGCTAAGACAGGCAGCTTGCAGATAACCAATACAATACAGTGAGGCATATACTGTAACTAATCCAAAGAATGTTATTAAGGCTGAATGTGCCGAGCCAGCTCCGCAGGGGTTCCGCGAGCCTGAGGGAGGGCGGTGAAGGATGGAGAAATGACAGACAAAGAATGAGCTGGGTCTAGGGTGGATCTTCCTGTGCCTGGCTGAGGCCACAGAGAGATCCAGAGGCAAGCTGAGCCTTTATTTTATAGCCAGAGGTAAACAAGGTAGTGGTCACCATAGTTACAATGTTCTCCTGAGTTTCACTTGCTTTGGCAGCACTTGCTACATCTCCCTCAGAGCATTAGCTACCCAGGTAAGATCTAGGGAGCATCAGAAGGTCAAGCCTAATTATGCTAAGAGGACTGTGCCCTCTAAGCTGGGACTTGTTTGTGGCTTTGCCAACAGGTCAGTCCGAGGCTTAACCCTATAGCCACTACGCCCTACAGCTGAATTCTTTGAAAAGGCCAATTAGGAACTAGCAAGCTG